GGCAACCCCACACTAGCTGCTTCCCCCCAGCAGACTAGGGAGACGCGAAGCTAGCGCCCCCCAGCAGACCAGGGAGACGCAGAGTGGCTTTTCTCAGCAGACACCTCAGCTTGAAAATAAAGGACTGAGGGAAGTGAGGTGTAGGAGAATAAAACTGAGCTCTGGAGAAATGTTTGGCTAGAGTTTCCCCTACAATATGTACCAGTTCCGACTTACATACAAATTCAACTTAAGAACAAACCTACAGTCCCTATCTTGTACGTAACCCGGGGACTGCCTGTATTGGGTTCTAAATCTAAAAGTGCTGTTAATAAGACAAGAGCTGAAATAAATATATGAGAACACTAACTGATATATGCATGAATTGTGAGCCTGATACTAACTTGGGTAAATTGGATATGCTCCTTGACTTTAAAGGAACAATGCTAGTTTACGCCAGTTGAGGATCTAGCTCAGTATTCAAAATTTACCAACTGCTGTTTCCATGTAATTTGCAATACACACGTCAAGCTGAATTAAGACCATCAGTTAACTAAATTAGAGATGGTGATAAGCCAGTGGTTGCGTGGTGCCAGATTTCATTCCCATCTGTCAGTTTATGAAGTCCAGGAATTCAGTCCCATACCTTGCTAACCTTGTGTGATTAAGTCTGCTTCAAGCCACTAATCAGGAATTCAGTTCTTGACCTCTGAGGAAATCTTGAAGACCTAGGGAAGAACTTGAGCTCTCTCTAGTTGGTTTAATATCCCATTTACAAAGGAGCCTAAAAGTATATCTACACTACAAATGAAATCCCATACCTGGCCTTTTCCAGCTGACTCAAGGTCATGGGGCTCCAGCCATAAGGACAGAAGTTGCTAGCATGATCTTTTTTCAGAGTTAATCAGGAGCAGTATTGTGCAGAACTGGAAGTCTAACAGAGAGTTGATTGCCCTGATTTCGAACTATAAGCATTTGCTGTTGTCCCTCAAAAGCTCCAGAAAGTTACTGCAGTGTTTCATGATTAAAAACATGCACCCTGCAAAATTATTAGCTAGTTCAGTTAAATTGTTCATGAGAAAAGTTAAGATGATGTCTTCTCAGAATTTGTGAAACAGTGTTTTTAAGCAGAGAAATATATTCATAGGTGGTGATGAAAGGTATTTGTCGACCACCCAGGAAAACCTCATCCCAGGAGTCTGGCTCAGCGCGATAGTCTGAACGCGCGGGTGTCAACATCAAAGGTATTTGTCGACCACCCAGGAAAACCTCATCCCAGGAGTCTGGCTCAGCGCGATAGTCTGAACGCGCGGGTGTCAACATCAAAGGTATTTGTCGACCACCCAGGAAAACCTCATCCCAGGAGTCTGGCTCAGCGCGATAGTCTGAACGCGTGGGTGTCAACATCAAAGGTATTTGTCGACCACCCAGGAAAACCTCATCCCAGGAGTCTGGAACTTCATAGTGCTGTAGCTTGCTGCACCCTTGGTGTGTGTTTTCACACAACAGGGAGACAAAATTACAGTGCAGTAAAGTGGAAATGTAAAGAAGCTCTTCTTCATTATCCATCCTCTTTTTCCATTGGATAGTAAAAGCATGTCATGATTCCACAGTTTATCTTTGTAGATAAGTCTGATAAAAGCTGATCTTCGAATCTTGAGATGATGTGTCAGATGAATAGTGCATGCTTGGCCTCAAAATGTAGCTGGCATCCCAGGCTACTTGCAGGCCATCTCTACTAACATAATGAAAGGACGAGTTCCCTGGGAAAACAGGCTAAATTAGCCTACTGGTGATTTATGCCCACAGAAATGGTTTTTCAATCCTTAATTAATACACCCTGAAGCCCTAGGTGTGTAATCTAAGGAATGGAACACCTTTCTTCAAGTTAGCATTGAGCTGGTTCTTTGTCATGTGTGTTGGTCATGCAACAGCATCAGTTTGGGATTAATGTAAGAGGAGCTTATTTGTGTAATGGAGCACATCTCTTCACCCCCATACTCCTACAGCCTCCCCATTGCCCTAACGCAAGTATTGGAAAACCAGAATCCACTCCAAATTCTCCAGGAGCTGAAGACTTTCTAGACTCTAATTCGAGAGCATAATTAATCTTGTAAAATTACAAATGTGTTCTACAGTAAATGTCCAAAATGCTGCAGCAGAATAAGTGATGTGTTTTATTACAAATCATTACCGAGGAATAAGAAAAAGAAGTTATCAGGATCTCAGAACTTGAATATGGTGTATCTGTTTTTTCCTGGTAATGTGCAAAAATGTTAAATTTGGATGTGTTTTTCAATGAATTGAAACCTTATGAAGCAGGCTTGGTGCTGTCAGCACTAGTGAATAACTGCTAAGATGTGGGGGAAACTTGAAATGGGAAATGCTAATTTTCCAAGTTTGTACTGTTAGTATGGTCTTTAGGTTACAAACTGACTAGCTGGAATACAGAGAAAGCTGGAGGCAACTTACAGTAAAAGGCATATCATGCCAGAAATCAAGAAACATTTGTCAGCCAGCTTCAAGGGAACACATGGCTTTTTCAGAAAGTTTTAAATGTATTTTTCATGTCCTGGTGCTATAAATAAGACTCTTCTATCTAGACTATCCCTTCAGTGTCATTGTCAGTAGAATCTTGCAACTTGACACTCCTGAGCTGAGCCATTGTGAATTGCTGGACTTTGTCAATTAGTGCATCAGTAAAAATAAGTCAATAACATTCAGGATAAAAATCATAAAGCATATTTGCAAGTTTCAGTTTCCATTAGTTATGATGCTTCACAATATACCAAAAGTGTGCTTTTGGTATATTTATGAAGATACAGAAGTCTTCATAAGAAAAAGAGGTGATCTCTACAGCCGTCATCTACCTTTGGTGTGAAGGGAAGACAGATATTTTGTGTAAATTAATGCTCCCTGCCTTTCAAATTGGTCTGGAAAAGGGACCAATTGGCCCATGACATTAGATTTTTCAAGCTTTAAACTCATATTTTCTAATTTTTGTAAATATGTTTCTTGCCCCTGTTTTATCAAAGTACCACAGAAACAAGGGAAATAACAGAACTGTGTGAATTATGTCATTTCACAAACAAACTGAAAAACTAAAGGAAATATTTTTTTCTGTAATCTCTTTTGATCACGGTAATTTTAGGTGGTGTTTAGAACAATAGTAGGTAAACAGTTTTCAGGGAGAAATGTGACTTAAGTTGTCTGTGTCCATTTAACCACCAGCTTGGACAGTTGGAGGCAGTATTTTCTTGGAAGTGCTTGTTAGATGTTACATTACAGAGGAGTTTGGAGAAGCCAGGGAGTCCAAATAAACATAAGAATTTTCCCCGGGAAGTTCTTCACTTTAAATTTGAGTGCATATGAAACCAACCTTTTGTTTTTAAAATGGGTCATGGAGGTTGACAAAACTGGATAGATTATTTTCATTCCAAATAAATGTTGGCATTTATTTAATAGGGAAAAATACCTAAGACTCATTTAGATATATTAGTTTTTTGTCTGTGTAGCGCTGAGAATAGATTTAGGGAATTTATCTCTCTTAAATTGAAGTGACTTGTATAAATCTTTATCAAGCTCTAGTTAAAGGGAATGGGGTTTTTATTTTTATTTATTTTGTCTGCCTTGGGAAATCCTACTTCATGCAACGACAGAAATATCTCTGGAGAGTTGGTTAATGAAACTTTTTTGGACCTGCACTCATATATTGTATTAAAATAAATAATGTATAGTAGTAAGTATCAATTACAACATTTTAGGATGGCTCCATACGTTCCATAGCCTTCAGTACATGCACCAATATTTTAGTGTGTGGTATTCCTGATCAGACACATTTATTTAATAAAGCTGTCTGTTTATTGCTACTTACCATTGTACTCTCAGGGCATATTCAACCCTCTGGTTACAGGAGAGTAGAGGTTGCACCTTTTTGTATGCACATGCATTAAGATGACTTATTCATTGAGAAATAGGGCCAAAGACATTTCCTAGGGGGTTGCCAGAAAAACTAAGCTTTATTTTCCAGAGGTGACTCCGTCTTGGTGAGCCTGTTTCTTAGACTAGTCTGCTGAGCATTTTAAGGAATGTGTTGTTTGACACTGAGCCTATATGACCATACCACGTTCCTGGTGGACTTGCTACTGGTAGGTACGAGGAGTGACTTAGCCCTCACACATTATGTTAAAGTCACTATTTGATAAGAAGGGATAATGTGGTGCTGATTTACAATGGCACATGTATGTTGCTGTTTTTAACAATAGGTTGCATTGTCATTCACAGCTTGTAGCCATATTTGATGAACAAGATCCACACCATGGTGGTGATGGCACCAGCGCTAGCTCAACAGGTACTCAAAGTCCAGAGATTTTTGGCAGTGAACTTGGCTCCAATTCTGTGTCAGCCTTTCAGCCTTATCAAGCAACAAGTGAAATTGAAGTCACACCTTCAGTTCTTCGGGCTAGTAAGTAAAAACTCTCAATGCCTCTGCACATTTCATCTTAATTAAGAGGATGCCAGCTTCTGTTACCCATTCATGCTGTTGGGAATATGATTCATTATCTGTCCTTATCAAAAGTTGATTAAAGTTCAGAATTTGGGTAAATGTTTGGTTCATACAAGTAAATAAGCCTCTACATTTCAATAAATTGTATACAGGTGCTTTAAAGAGCAATAAGCTCTTTTGTGTCTGTCTCCAGTTTTAAATTGCATAAACACAGAAAATTATAACAATCTCCAAGTGAAGTCACCGTGTGTGTAGTTTCCAATTTGCCAGTTTTTATTTATATAATAAAGATGAAAAGAGAAATATTCAACTATAAATAGCAGTAGCTGCACTCTTCCCCAATCTGTGAAGGCATATATGGTACTTTTCCCCCTTCAAATTAAACACCTGGTGATGCAGATAGAAAAATCCCCTTTTTGAAACAGTCAGAAAAAGTTTTTATTTTGTTTATTTCAGAGCTGGAAGTGTTATGCTCAAGTCTGTAAACTGAGTGAGGCAGGAAGTACATTTACCTTTGTGTTTGTACAGCACTTAGCACAGCATAACCATGATCCTGCAAGGGCCTCGGTACACTATTTTATTATAAGGAGTAAAAATTTGAGGGCTCTCCTCTTTTTAGGTGTTTCAGTCTTAAATTATTGAAAAAATAATTTAAAAAGACCCATGTAAAGATGGTAATTAATATACTTTCACCCTCCCTTTCCCCGTAGAGCCATCAGCATTGTGTGCCTCCCACCCCTATTTATTTATTTTACATTGGTCCTTTTATTCTATGTTTGGGGATAATGTTGGGAATATTACTTGACTAATAATAGCTTGACAAGAGTTGCACTTCATCTTATTTAGACATCTAATATATAATAATATAGATTCCCTTGTGGAAAACTCTTGTAGAATATACTATGAATAAAGAGAATAGACTTCTATAAAAATGTAATGGCTTTTTAAAAGAAAAAATACCTTTGAAAACCTTGTGCAATTCAACAAAATATTTTTCAGTTGATTTTTCAATTATTGTATAAAATTCTAAGTGAAAATATATGTTTTTAATAAAATGGGTTTAGAATACTGCTAGAAAAGTTTTTTTCCCCATAAAGTTCTAAAAGAATTTTTTTGAAAGAGTAATCCACATAAAATAGATTATGGGAATAACATTTTAAAGTCAGTTGCAGTCTCACTAATTGTAATGATGGTGTAGCACTTTTAAAATATACGTAAGGGTCTATCAATAACCCAAAATGGCTTAGGGAAGGAGTATGGTCAAGTGACAGAGACAAAAATCTGCTCACTTGAGTTTTGCTCTCAGCTGTACTACTGGCTGACTCTCCATCAATTCAGTAGAAATTTAGCATTGCTAAATGCACACTCCAGTTGTTGGCTTGAGCCCTGCAAATAGCAGTGTCCTCTTGAGTTCCCAGCAATATGAAGTTTCTCAAGTTTAGGAAAATGTTAATATTTTTTCAGCGTTGGTGCCCTCTTCGTGTGGCTATGTCGTGTGTTCTCAGGGGCAAGGTAGGAATTTAAATTTCACCACTTTTGGGGTCAGATGTGCTCCTAGGATTTCTTCATACTCCATTCTGCATCCAGGCCTGAGAGGAGCTCACTGCCCCGTGAATCCCAGCAGAGGCTTGATCTTTGCTCCATTCACCTGGTTGTGGCCCTTCCAGGAGCTTGATCCTCCATCCCTCTGTCCGGTTATTGCAGGAGTTGAACCTCCCCTAGCTCTGTGGTCTGGGACCGGAGAAGTTCTGTGCTCCCGACAATAATTGGGGAGAGGGAACCCTTACCCCTCATTCACCATTGCACATGCCCCTGCATGGTGTTTCAGGGCATGTATACAGTGATTGTAGCTTCCAGGCTGCTATGACACATTGGAGAAGACTCTCAAATTCAGTTGTTTATCATCGTATATATTTTATAGTGTGCACATGTAGCTCACAAGTTTATTGAAGGATACCCAGTGACTGGGAAGTGCTTTGAGATCCTGTGACGAAAGGTGCCACACAAGGGCAAAATATTATTTTAATATTCTCAGGAAGTGCAGCATCTCAAAATGTTTTTGTGATGCATGAAAAAATTTAAGTGAGTGAAATATTTTGGCATGAATGTGTTCATACCAATCAGAGATGTTCCATTTACTGTTTAGAATATGTTTCTCTGTATGTTGACAATGAGATGCATTTTGTGTTACAAGGAGTTCCAGCGCATAGCATAGAGCCAATCCAATAACATTATCTGATATTAGAGATACCTTTTCAAGTATTTTATTTGAATGCATGTTGAAAATTGTAATAATATGCCTCTTATATTTTCTTTTTAACTTGTGAAGGGAAGCATAGAATACATTTTTTTTCAGGATTTAATGTAATCACATTCTTACTGTGTGTAAGTTCTATTCAGGGTATAAAACCTTTCCAGTTTTCTGTTCAATGCAGATCCTGATTATTACATGTTGACAAGGTCATATATCTATTAATTGGATTGGAGATGGGATACAAAATTGCTATAATTATTGTAATTTTCTAGCTAATTGCATGGTTGGCAGTGAATATTTTACTTCTAACAGATGTAAAACAGTGTTCTGGCTGAAATTGTTTTATAGCATTTTCAACATTTTGTTTTACATCTCTAGTGTTTTTTTTGCCCACAAGTTGGGCTGTGTTTCTCAGAGGTTCAAATGCAAAGTATTCCTGTCCCCTTCTTCTGCCATTCACCTTCATGCAAGTGGTATGTAGTGTTCTGTTCTGAAGCAGTGTCTAAGCATATTAGGCTGGGGATTAAGGGCCTGCTGAGATTTTCATCTCTTTGTTCTGGTTGCCAAGTTACCCGTTTTGTTTACAAATCACGCCACCAGTCCTCCCCCAGAAAGGAAAAAAAGGTGAGATAGATAAGGTCCAGCTGGTCTCCCCATGCACAAACATGTAACCATGTACTGTGCACATTTGGGGGTGGCTCAAATTGGATCTTTGCAGCTAAATGTGAAAATGGAGTAATGCTGCTCAATAGTGTGAGAGCATCAATCATCAATAGAAATGCTTGCTCTTCCTAGTCACATTTTTTCTTACAGCCCATTCTCGTTGTTGTTGTTGTTGTTATTAGCTAAACTTACTGTTGCTGTATTTCAGCAGTTGTTGAGCTGGATTTTTTTATAATTGTATAGAACACGGTCTGTTTTGTGCGCACGCGCCTGTATGCTTCTAAGAGGAGGTTGGAAGCTCACTGCAGAAGATTGTTGAAACAGACTGATGTTTATTCCCTGCTGAAATATATACTGGAGGCGCAGGTGAAAATTGCCAAACCTAATGAGCAATTTGGCAGATAAGACAGGATGTCAGGCAGTGACAGTTCAGCAGCGGGTGCACTGTCTGTGAACCAAGTTGTTTGCTTCACAGTCTTTCATGTAAATACAGTAAATTTATTCCTTTTAAACTCCTGCATATATTTTTAGTCATTTACTTTGTATTGTTCTCCTTTAAAACACTGTATTTATATTTTTAATTTATAATTCATAATTATATTTCCTTAAATAACCAACAGGTGTGAAAATGTGTTCCAAATTGCATTTTGAGCATTTAGTAAGTACAGTACAGGGAATAATCCCCAGTACCACGTTAGCAATATTTGGAAATAAATATACCAAAGAAAGGATTAAAATATAGTAGTAAAATGAAAGTAATCACTTGGTTCACTACACTGCATTTGGTGTGCTGTCATTTTTACATGTAAACATTTAGCAGTACATTGCATCTTGTAAGTGCATTGTGCCTTAAGTTATCCTATATTCTAAAGAATTCTTTTTTCACTATGTACCTATAATTTCTCACCTGCCGCTTCACTGTTCTTAGTACTAGACTGTGGCAGTCATAAGAGACAATGTCAGAAAATTTCCTTTTTTCCCATTTTTCAGGAGTTGTTTTTACGTACTTACACTGACGTATTCTTAAGCACTGCAGACTAGCCACCTGCATGGAACACTGACCTGATGAGCTACGTTCCCTCCAAGCACTTTGGCCAGAAACCTATAAAGGGCTATACAGGTGCTCTGGGCTGCAACAGGGAGAGACTTGTTTCCTGTAGCTCCCACTCTGCCACAGCCAGGGAGAGGTGCTTTTTCCCTGTCCCTGGACTATGTCCCCTCTGTTTTTTCCCATGCATGTGCAGAATACATTTTGTTACGTGCAACAATAGGGATGTGTGGCATGGGTAGGCCTGAAGGGTTTGAAGTGACAGAGAGCGCTCAGGGCTGGGGCAGGGGATTGCAGTGTAGAGGGGTGTGTGTGAAGGGGGAGGAGGAGGGAGGGCAGGGACGCTTGGTTAAGAGTGCAGGCTCGGGATAGGACTGGGGATGAGGGGTTCAAGGTGTGTGAGAAGGCTTAAAATAGTGCTTCAATTTACTTGTCTGTAAATTGGGTATGATAGAGAGTTCACTGAAACAATATTGTGAGGATTAATATTTGTCAGTTTAGGGGTTGAAGGCACTATGGCATATTAGTTCCAGTAGTATACTAGCAAAGGAGTACCAAAGCAAAGTCTTACTGACTGGGGATGAGGGGTTCAAGGTGTGTGAGAAGGCTTAAAATAGTGCTTCAATTTACTTGTCTGTAAATTGGGTATGATAGAGAGTTCACTGAAACAATATTGTGAGGATTAATATTTGTCAGTTTAGGGGTTGAAGGCACTATGGCATATTAGTTCCAGTAGTATACTAGCAAAGGAGTACCAAAGCAAAGTCTTACTTGTTTGTTGCTGCTTCATATGGACTTTCCTCCTCATTCTTCTCTGCTGCCATGTGGAAGTCTTAAAAATTCCTCAACACTGTTTTTGCCCATTTTGACTTATTACCTTTTTTCTCCATACCAAAAATGTCTAAAATCAAATGAAGATTTAATGAGGATGTTTGTGAGCAGTGTAATAAAAGTTGTTCCCCTAGAGGTCAGCAAAATGGAGAGAGCTAGAAT